GACAAAAAAAAAAAAAAAAAAAAAAAAAAAAAAAAGAGAGAGAATAGCCAGGGCTATACAAAGAAACCCTGTCTTGAAAAACCAAAAAGCCAAACAAAACAGATCTTTAAATTAAAGGTATGTGCCACCATGGCCTGGCATAAGTTATTTTAAATTTATTTTTATTTTATGATAAATAAAATTGGTTTTACCTGCATGTGGGTCTATGTGAGGGTGTCAGAAACCCTGGAACTAGAGTTACAGACAGGTGTGAGCGGCCATGTGGGTGCTAGGGATTGAACCCGGGTCCTCTGGAAGAGCAGTCAGCGCTCTTAACCTCTGAGCCACGTCACCAGTCCCTATTTCCAAAAGTCTTAATGAGTTGGCTTTGGATCCTGTTTGGGAGTGTCTAGGGAACTGGCATGGCTCCAAGTGACTCCAGGGTCTGCAGAGAGTTTTGCAAGAAGAAATGCAATCCTGAACGGGAGAGACGGCTCAGAGGTTAGGAGCTGCTCTTCCTGAACACCCAGGTTCAATTCCCAGCAGCCCCAAGGAGGCTCACAACCATCTGTAATGAGATCTGGTGCCCTCTTCTGGCCTGCAGGAATACATGCAGGCATAACACTGTATACATAATAAATAAATCTTAAAAAAAAAAGCTATGCTCTATAGGAAAGAAAGGAAGGAAGGAAGGAAGGAAGGAAGGAAGGAAAGAAAGAAAGAAAGAAAGAAAGAAAGAAAGAAAGAAAGAAAGAAAGAAAGAAAGAAAGAAAGAAAGAAAGAAAGAGAAAGGCAATCCTAATAGCCCATGCGGCTCAGCCGAGGGCAGCATTCACAGGAACCATGATCGAACCGTAAGTGTCCAGTGACCTGACATCCTCTCTAACCCCCGATGGGGCCAGCAACACATGTGGTGCACAGACATGCATGCGGGCAAAATACTCAAATGTATCAAATAGAAATAAACAAGGTGACGAGGGATTCAGGTAGCCCTCTGACCTCGCGTGCGCATGCGCGAACTCACCGAGCCTAGGCTCTGAGGTACCGGGCTCTGCGGTTCATTTCTATGGCTGTAATAAAGTACCCTGTGAAAAATAAACTCGAGAGGAAAACGAGTCCATGACTACCCATCTTTTTTTTTT